TTTATTGTTTCTTGTTTGTGTGGGAAATCTTAACAATGTACAATCGGTTGTCTTTACCGAGTTGGTCTATATAGAGATCAATATGGATTAGTTCAGAAGGATTTTTTCATAAATATCCGTAGGGGAAGTCGTTAATACTTATAAAAGTTAAATATGATGTCTATTTACCAATTATCTTATCGCGACCTAACCTCACCAACCGGTTAGTTGTAAAATCAATAAGTCTTTCATATAGAACAATCTAATCGTTTTTGATTTTGTTTGTTACATTTTGAAGTCGAGCCGCCTTTTTTATTGACAAGATATTTTATCAGACGCATTTAATCGTTCCAGAGGTTATCGGCTTATCTAGAAAAAACTCTCGAATAGAACCGTCACGAACGTTTCTACGAATCCCGTATAATGTTCCAAAATAGTTTGAGATTTTTATACCTATTAGTAAAAGTTAAAAGATATGCGATATCTTAACCAAAGACCGCTGTTAAGCCTAAAACGATCGTATCGCGGCACATTTAATCTTAATATTCCTACGTAGGGTCAGCCGGGTGTTCATAGAAATGGAGAAAATGTTTAATGGTTCATTATTAAAATATTTGGTAAGGTTAGAAGGTTTGTTATGTGGCTTCTGTCGGTAATCTAATAATATTGTAGGTGTTTGACGTTGACTTCAGTTCTACACAAGATCAAGGCTTAGCTTCGTTCGGTTCAAGAAGTGTTTATGAGCGACCAGGTATGTCCGATTCTTAAGCGCGTGTAAAAACAAGTCTTGTTCTTGTAATTAATAGACCAATTAATATTTCTCTCATAACCCATTGTCCCGAGTAACTAGACTTAAATTATTCAGTGACTTGGCTACTACAACAAGAAGTTTCAATATTTTCAACGCCTGACAAATGCGATAAAAATATTGTTGGGGAATTTTGTAGACGGCAAACGGAATGACTATTCCAACACCGGCAAATGATATATGCCTAAGTAATACAAAAATAATATATTATGGTGTCATCGAATTATGTTGTGCAGAGTTTGTATGTATGTGTGTGTGTGTGATATACGATACAGCGACCACAAGACCAGTGCGTTGGGCTTCTCGATGGGGTGTCTGCTGTCGAGTGTCGATGTATGATAATATAATATATACTTACAGTGTGGTGCACCGATAAAATATCGCTTTTTCCCAACAGTTGACAAACCGTTCAGTGACCCTAAGCAAAATACTTCCAGTTGTCCGGCTTCCTCTTGTATGCCCCTGAAACACGGCCGCACAGTGAAAGTATATAACGTGACACACCGAACTTGTGTACAGGTAATCCGCCCTCGTGCAACGACGAGTACGCGGGTCTAAGGGGTAAAGTCGAGGTAACTATTTGTGGTTTTCGTGTAAGTTAAGCCAAACGATTTTTAGCTTCGTTATTTTTTTTATTAGTCCCAAAGGAAAAACGGTCATATGACGGTGTATTACGTTAGTGTTTTATCAAAAATAGAGTGACTAACAGTTATTTTATAAAAGATAGCAGATACAAACAGGGTGGTCAACATACATAACGTTTTGGTTTGTTTATACATGTCGACTAATTTTAATAGTATGTGCCGGTCAATGAAAACATCTTTAACGTCACAATGTAAAGTGAATTTATCGTTGACCCAACATTGATACTTGATTAACGATAAAGATATTCACATTTCGAATCAAATATTTTAATTGCTAATTTAAATCAGTAGCATGGTTTTTAATGGCTGTTTAAGAAACATTTATATTATTTTCTATGTTTTTATTAACTGATACACACAATCAAGACTATGAAATATAAAAAGATGATTCGTCGTTTATTAAAGTTGTACATGTTTATTTCTTGAAAGTTTTAAGTTTAAATACAATTTATATTTTCATACTTCTTCCGTCTTCGGAAACTTAATAAAATACTTAACATAGTTCAGTAAAATATGACTAAACTCTTCATAATATATTAAATTCTTTTAATATTTATAATTCAATTATAAATCCTCCTCAATAAATTAGCCAAATAGGTACTTTAGACATAATTTTAGGTTATAGTCTACAAAATTTAATATTACATATTGAACCTCAGTAATTTTAATAACTTTCAATTATCAAAGGGTTCACCATATAGTTTTACTAGCCTCGCTAGTAGTTTTATAATGATTATATAGGTAAATTAGAAAATGATAAATTATATAGATTTATATCGTGCAAATTGACTGTATTAATTGGTCAACTAATGTTCTTAACTTATATTTTTTATATCTAATTATCAATTTTATTGCCGTATAAAGTATTTTACGCAATGATTAGATATACATAGCAGTATAATTATTTAGAATACTAGTAATAGGTAACAATCGACAATTTGTAATGTACATTTTAAGTTAATGACTTAATATTATAAGTAAGTGTTATAGTTTTTACACTTTACTCGTTGATATTAATATTTATATCCTCGTACGCGTCATTAAGTTGAGGTGTATAGATCATTAACAAAAATACCAGTTGTACATCAGATAAAAACATGAACAATTTTAACTAATTCAAAGTCAACAGTGTTAACTTATTTAATTTTAATTAATAATCTAGAAGTACCTACCCCACAGCGTCGTAAAGGTTTTTTTTATCTGGCTTATTTCTTTGAAATGGTAATATAAAATTACCTTTCTTACTCACTACTATGTATAATAGCCAATAATATTATTTAAACAAACTTAATATATATTTTGTACATTACTTAAAATCTAAGGTATTTTTTGTTTCTTTTTGCTATTTGATAACTTTACTTAATGCTTTAGGTAATAAATATTCGCCGGTACATTATAAACTTAATCGACGTAGTTAATTAAATCACAAATATTCCAACTTATCTTGTGTTTGCTTAATACAGATTGAATGCAAATATAGTAATTAGATGCGTCGTTAAACAACCCGACGTCCCACTACTATGGACGATGCTGTCCGTGTGTACATGGTATGTTGTAAAGACATATAGCAATTTGACGACCTTCAAGAATGGCCTGTGTAATTGTGTCGGGTTGAGAAACATTATACTACACTTGCTAGTTGGTGGGATATACCCGGCACAGAATTAAAAATCTTATCGGATTATTCCATTACCTATACGTGTTTGTTTTTCAAACCACTTGTCGTCAACAAAAAAACTCGGTTATTTTTTTCCCGCCTCTCTATCGTCACTCGTATCCCTCACCGGATTCCGCTAGTTTCAACTTTCAACAGTTGAATTCATCAGTATCGTGTAACAGAAAATTGAAAATGTTTAATTAAGTATACAAATACGGACGAGCGTGGAGCTAGTTTTCGAGCAATTGACACATCGCTGAAATATAATAATTTCATTATTAAATAATAATTATTATAAACAATAATTTAAACGCGTTGCACCGCATATATGTCTGCATACAATAACCGTGTTGTATTATTTTGTATACAAACAATTTAAGAACGTATCTTACTTACTTTTAAATGTTTACACCGCGCTCGTTGGGCATATTACCTGACCACAATAATATGTGATGTATCATGTAATCCATAAAAGGTTATTAACGTAACGAAGTCTTATACTTTTCATTTGTACTGTTCAGGTTAGATCAAAATTTGTAGTTCCTACGCCAATACAAGCTGACGTTTAACCGTTTAACTTAATGACAACATTCACTTTTAAAGTCGGTATTTCTTTAGCAGGCAGTATTATTCATGCGGTGGGTTAAAAAACACAGTAAGCTTTCGACCCTACTTTTTTTGACCCAACTATTAGAGCTCCTTTAATTGTTATTGCTATTATTTTCAAATAATTATTCATCGTCGTCGGATCAAGGCAACTTTATTTGTACGAAAATAAGATATTTTCATAATGACGAGGAAAAAAATAAAATTGTTATTAAAGTAACACTAAATATTCTGTGATACTTGCTCGTTTTTATGACGTGTGAAATAGAATCGTTCACTTTTTTGTTTCTAGTTTCAAGGACTAAAAGGATACGAGTTCATTAAATTACCGTAATCGCGTTTGTATAATTATTATTGTCGCTTATCCTTAGCCGGTGCTGTAGTTGTAAAACGAGGGAAAATATTAAATACATATAAATGTTTATAACTACTAATGCACGCACACTAATGTTTAATAAAAGAAATCGTGTTCTGGTTTTACTTAACTTGTACGCAGATTAAAAAAACAATATACCTACTTTATTGCACAGTGTGTTTTATAACTTAGTTTATATATGCCGGCATTGTGAAAAGGGGTAATTTTAGGCGTGTCTATTTAAATAGTTTTGTATTTGAAGTATGTACCTGTGGTGTGTATTAGGCTAAAATTAATTTTTATGCGTGGCACATTAAACAAATAGAAAAATATTAAAACAATGTATAATAGTAAAACAGGTTACAGCTGTTGAATACAGTTAAAAAAAAAAACAATTAAAAAAAAACTTGAACCGTGCTATGATAACCGTACTAAATATTAATGTTGCCGAAAGCTATTGTGCATTGTACAGAAATATCATTAAAAGGCCGCTAAAACGTATTAACATTATTTTAGTTAATATGGGCGTTGAAGAGTCCTTGAGTACAAAGATAGCGATACTCTACACGATCATATGTTAGTGGACGGCGACGAATTCAATTTTAAAAAAACTGCATAGTATTATAAATGTATATTTTTCGGGTTCTCATTGGAACCGGTTCCGTTCGCGTTTCCATCAAGTAGAATTTCCATTATTTAAAAAAAACTCCTAAGGTAGTATACATATTTATACATTTTTTTTTTTAAATATAACAAGTTAAACCCGTATGCGCCTGCGCACACAGGAGTAACGCGTTTTGGTTTATGCGCAGGCTCTCTCGTTGAACGTATTAAAGCCGCGTTCTGACGATAATTTAATTATCGTTTTAATGAAACTCTTATCACTTTTCATTTATATTTTTCAAACGAGTGTTAACTGTTTTATTATTTTTTTTTATTCACGATTTGTAGGAAACATTGACGATAAATGTATGGACGAACCAAATCCCAAAATAGCTCGGATCGAAGATTCAATTGAAATGGGTGAGTAAACAACATTTATTTCACTATGCCGACTGCCATAATATATTACATACATTTGTTACAAACAATGCTTTTATATTATACATATTATAAGAAACGCTTAAGTGGAAAAGGGAACCGATTTTTCGCTGTCAGCATATTATCGGTACGCTTGTCATAGTTTAAGATGGAGCCTGGAGGATAGTATAGAAATCTCTCTTGGCATCAGCTGGAATCTGGCATAAAATCGGTCGCCGTTTTTTGGCATAACACTACCTATTTGTGTATTAAAGTCAATGCTACAAGTTTATACCGACACAAGTAACCGTTGCGCTGTCTCGATGTATATGATTTAAACACCACCTTTGGGCGTGGGCTTATCTTTGTAGAGAAGTCTCGAGTTTTGGCTAGTATTCAAGATTTTTAAGCAAGGAAGAGAGTAAACCGGGTTTAACACGATAAACGACCGATATCCGAAGACACTTTGAGGTGCGTCTCCACAGTTGCCGGGTGCTTTATTACCGCACGAGGAGTACTTAATACTTTTTTTCTGTTACATCTCTCTGTACACGGCCTTCAGGCGACTACGGGGTTTTTTTTTTAATGTAAAATTCTTATGTATATTAGGTATAATACTGCATATTAAAATAGTTAAAAACTGATTTACGCCAAAACAGTGATACCCACCATTAGGTATCGTGTGTTAGGCCACAACTGGTTTAACCATTATTGCTATTTGCTCGGTTGTATAAATTATAATATTTACCTATTGTAACATCGTGAAAACAACATAATATTATAACATTGTGGCTTCGTGCTTGTGCACGCGCTGACATTACACACACACACACACACATGATAAAGCAGTGCGCTCTACCCGGCTGTGTGTGTGCTATAGTAACAATTTAAATATTTCTAAGCATTTTATTGTGGGCTAATACGTTCAGTTTTATTTGCGCAAACTGACCTGTACAAATGTGATTTGCGCAATTATTATCCGATCGTGTAAACAAATAGTTTAACATAACTTTGATTTGTACAAATGTCTTGTGCGAATTCGGTCGCTGTCTAAAAATAAAACGGTACTTAGCACAAATGAAGAATAATTATTTGATGTTTGTGCAAGTATGCGGGCTGAATTATTACTAGCCAATTTTGCGGACGTGTAAACCCACCTTTAACCGGTATCATTAGACCGATGTAGTCACCATAATAATATTTAAATATTTTCATATACTGGTTGGTTTTTTAAAAATATTATAAACATTTTGTTCAAAATAAAAATAAATATATGCTATTCGACTGGCCAACATTGTAACATAGCGTGGTATTTAAACGGTGTCCACTTATACTATAATATTATTACATCAGACGCACGATCCGTGCTGCGGCTGTCGACGAGGCCACACGGTAAAGACATTCATAATTGAAAAATAAAAAAGAATATCAGCTTGATAAACCGAGAGAGACCTTGAAATACGTGTAGCGCTACCCTGCTATGACTCCCAGAGACTTGGGTTCGGATATGCCTGTCGGAAGTCCCCAAAATGGCCATGGAAAATGGTCCAACCGATCAATACCGCATCACAGTGATGATTACAGAAAGTAATTAATTCATTTAACACAACTAACGCCTGTGTGGGTTAATGGTGCTGTTATTAACACGCGCGTGTTAATTGCTTATACAGTGTTTTATATGTTTTCAATTGACATCAGCTACGCCGTCGTCGAGCATATAACGTAGGCAATCGATCAATAGGGTTTCCACATAACAAGAGGATAATAAAAATATTTCAGGCAACAAATCTCGAAAATCGACCGAAATCGAAAAATGGCTTCTATCAAACCATTTCACCCAATAATATCTAATTTTTTAATCTAGTTCCAGTGACTTATTTTTGTGGTTGCGTCCTCTTCTATATCTGCGGACACCCTCTGGTTAAATTAAAATTAATTTACATATATCAAGAAAGTTGCTGTTGTTAAATTAACATCTAGAAAAAATCTTTTAAATAACAACAGAAAATTCAGGTGAGGAGCATTGGTGAAATTTCAGGGGATGCTAGCTATTTTCAAAACTCTGCAAGCCTTAATTGATAATATTAAATTTGTCATAACTCATAATCAATAAATCTTTAGGCTTTTCGACTGTTATAAGTTTGACTATGTAGACTGACTATAGTAAGACTTTAAAAAGGATTCGATGGTAACGAAACCGTTCGAATCGTACAAAATTATTACTGCAAGATTGGATGGTTTTATTTTATTCTACGGAGAATTTGATATTTTCGCCCAATGAGAATAAAGAACTAATTATCATTTATAAAGTATAAAATCTAAAACCTTGAAATAAAATGTTCTGAACATGTATAATGAAAAATAAAGTTCCTTATGAATGTGTTGAAGCTTTCGTGGATTGATATATCATTTGAAAGAGTTTCTCATATATTGACGTCACTAGTTATATGCCGACGTTTCGGACTCTTCGCAGAGTCCATTATTGCCCTGAAGATGGACTCTGCAAAGAGTCTGAAACGTCGGCACTCGGCATATAACTAGTGAAGTGGATATATCCGAAACTCTTTCAAATAATAAAGTTTCTTATTAACTATTATGTGTGCAAACTCTGTAGGGACCAATATCATCAAATAAACTGAATGTGAATAATTTGTTTTCTATTCAGATCCGTTTTGTATCAGATGACATGCTCTGTAGGTCCTCGCATCTAGTAGTGTTATATTATATTTCATATAAAATCCATGTCTATACTTTAGGTGTCGCTTAACACTGTTTTGAAGATAGATATGTTTCCAAGGGAAATCTATTGTGGCCAAAAAACTATTTTGATCCGATGATCAATTAATAATATTAATATTATATTATTTATTAAAACATATTTCGTTGGTGATTAGGCCCAAATGCAAAATAAAAGTTATATCAATAAGAATATTTTAACTTCGTGTCGCACCCGTTTCAAATAATTGTTATTTAGAATATATATATCAATGACGCGACGGCAGAATTAAAACTATGCAGTGCGTTTTCCATTACTAGTAAAAATAAACACATACACTCATACATATTTAAATTTCCTACGTTTTAACCGACTATAAATCTCAGTGTTCACCGTCATTATCATATTACATTTTTTTTATAGTGTTTGAGAGTCACAGTTTACATGTTCCTTCGACTACCTGAGTTCGGCGTCGTAAACCTGCACAAATGTTTTGAACAATAATAATCTGTACTCAATAGCGGCTGAAATTAATTGTATCGCAATATTAAAGTTTATTTAAGCCTTGAGCAAGAATGTTTTTTTTACCTATAAAACGCATAACTTGGACAACTGGTAAATTGTATATAGAATTCCAATAAAAAAAAAGTAATGTTCAATAAGGGTAATATGTAGTCATAAATTAGGTCATAAATTAAAAATATATGTGCTAGGTTTAGTACCAACGGTGAATCAAATACAGTGATAAAATTTTACTCTAACTATAAACACTCAAGTGTCAGGGAAATCATAAATAATTATTTGTTATAATTTATAAAAATTAGTAGAATAAGTAGAGCTTAAATATTTTAACTATATAAAAATAGTCATAAGAAACAAACATTTGTAAACTATAGGTTATTATCCTAATGTTATTATGGCCCTTAAATGCCCCTTTTGTTATACCTATCATGTGTTACCTATCACGCTCTCCTACCAAGTTTAAAATTTGAATAAAAAAAGTTGAAAATTTATAAAATATAAAATATTACTAATACGATTAAAGCGATTGTGAGTCTTATTTTCATATAAGCATTGTATGGATAAAGAAAACTTTACATAATAATAAGTTGGTAAGAGATATGATTACAATAATATCTGTATATTAGATTATACTACATATTGGTTCATTTGGTTCAAAACTATCAAATGCAGAATGACGACGTGTGTTAGTCTGGAGCTGACAGACTTAATAGTGTTCCAGTAGATATTCGAAGATTGCCCTTGTCGAAATGATTATGTATTAGACGATATGCATTATGCACATATTTAAATTTAGACCCGTGACAATCTTCTGACCATGCAACAATTTAAAAACGCGATTCTTAGCAATTATAATAGTGTATCCAACATCGTATATGAATTATACAGTTATCGTTGTGATGTAGCAGCTAAAATATTAAAAACTGTTTATTAAAAAAATGTTTTTTCTATTAATATTTTAGTTTTTGTTACACTTTATTATTCTTGTTTAGCGTGACAATTTATTGACGCCATAAGTTGTAGAAACATTAGTGACATGTATTTTCTCTATTGAATAACAGCTATACAAATGATTAAACATTCAATTAGTCCGTAGCCATAATATGACAGTGCAGTTTTCGTTTAAACTGTATAGTAGTAGAAATAAATATCGATTTATTGCTAAAATGAGGTTTAATAGTGTATACTATTTTCAATTATAAAATATCAACTTTTCGAACTTATTTCTTCAATTTTTCAAGTTCTTTTAATACTTACTTCAACAACTATTCTTTCTTTCACTTGGCAGGCTGGATAGGTTAAGTTATAACTTATAAATAAATAACTTAGTAAAAACTCGAGTAAACGAGTAAATAAATCGAGATTATTGTATTGTTAATAATGATTATTTGTTATGTTGTAAATAACATAGTAACATAGTTACGCATGACGCAAAACATGTCTAAAAACATTATCATGTTAGAAATTATTCTGTTTGCAGATAGATAACAAAAAAAAAATCTTAACCTTCTCGGCTTCGCATTATAAAATATATGTATCATATTTATACACAGCGCCGCAACAACTCTTTTGGAGATCACTATTACCATAATAGCTATTTTAAGATTTTTCAAGGCACCTGAGCACAAAAATATGACTAAAATACTTAAAAATCCTAGTGAGAGTTCATCTTTACCAATCAGAAATCCTAAAAATCCAACAAATATTATAAATCTATACCACCACAGACCACTCATCATCTTTAGTCATGTGAGGGTGACAAAGT